CCGTGGATTGAAGTCCGGTCCCTCTCAGTCCCAAGAGCGAACGACTCCCAAACAAAGAGCACAAATAAAAACCTTCCCCCCTCCCCAAGATTTGAAAGTATCTTGTCCCCTTATTGGTCCTTTGGGTCAGATGCCAGCCAGGTTATCTGAGCTTCTTAACCCTTCACAGGGAAAAGGATTTTGGAGTCTCTGGCCAGGAGGGATTTTATAGTACTGTACACAGGACAGCTGTTACCCTTCCCTTTATAGTTATGACAGATGTATTCCTGGAGATTTCATCACATGGCAATCTTTAATTCCTGGAAACTCCAGGCTGGGCAACCCTAAATCCTGTACATGCCATACCTCATTGAAGGTCCATTAAGGAGATGGAACTATTCTCTGTGATTAAAGAATGCTAATTTACCCAATCATTTAACATAAGGTGCATTAGTTAGGGCCATGTTTACATTAGGGGGAATATAACACCATAGCCATGGCACCATAACTATGCTGCTATAACTCCATGGCATCAGTGGAGTAGCTAGGAATGTACGTTTGTGTGGGCCGCAAATTATTACGGACGGGCAATATCCCACCCACACATTTCCTTACAGGCATGGCTAAAGTCTTTTCAAAAATTGTCTATTTGCCCAATAAAATGCATCATTAAAAAAAAATCATGGTATAAATGTATTTGAACTTCACATTGAACTGGCCAACATGGGCAGAGGGAGCCGGGCTTTGGTTCCAGATCCCCCCGAAGCCAGCCTGACACGGGCAGAGGGAGCCGGGCTTTGGTTCCAGATCCCCCCGAAGCCAGCCTGACACGGGCAGAGGGAGCCGGGCTTTGGTTCCAGATCCCCCCGAAGCCAGCCTGACACGGGCAGAGGGAGCCGGCTTTGGTCCAGATCCCCCGAAGCCAGCCTGACACGGGCAGAGGGAGCCGGGCTTTGGATCCCAGAGCCCCACGGAGCCAGTCTGACATGGGCAGAGAGAGCCATATTTGGGTGGGTCCATATGCTAAGTGGATCGGCTGCGGCCCACTCAGGCCCACCTGTGGCTACGTCATTCGCATGCAGCCTACAGAGACAGAAGAGGTTTTTCCATCACTTTACTACCTCCCTGTGCAATGGTAATTAGGTCTATAGGGGCTGTGACCGGTGCCTAGGATGGGCCACTCTGAGAATGCCACACTCAGGGAACAAGAAATAGGGCAGGCAATCCCCCAAACTGGGGGTTTATTCTATAATAGTCAGCAAACCAGTGATCAAAAGAGCTTCTGCAGTACCACACTGGTGAATAGGAAGCCAAACACATTCCCCTTTAGGCATTCCAGTCCTTGACTTCTATCTAGGCAAACACGTCTAATATAATGAGGGATTACTGAAAATCCAGTTCACCATATGTTAGGTTCTACTAATCGCAAAGGATCAGACACTTATCCTCAGGTCAATAGGTATCTCAGATCATACCTAAATACCACACTGTCAGCCAATCCTTAGTAAACCAACTAAAGATTTATTAATAAAAGGAAAGAATGGAATTATTGAATGGTTAAAAGATTATATGCATCAGCAGTTCTCAACCAGGGGGCCGGTGCCCCCCTGGGAGGCTGCGAGGATGTTTCAGGGGGTCCACCAAGCCAGGCTGCCGTTAGACTCACTGGGACCCAGGCCAGAAAGCTGAAGTCCAGTCGTGCAGGGCTGAATCCGCTGGTGCTGAACCTTGCCACCCAGGGCTGATGCCAAAGCCTGAGCAACTTAGCTTTGTTGGGTTCCCCTGTGGCATGGGGCCCCGAACAATTGCCCCACTTGCTACCTCTGAACACTGGCCCTGGCTTTTATATACAGAAAAACACTTGTTGTGGCACAGGTGGGCCATGGAGTTTTTATAGCATGTTGTGGGGGCCTCAGAAAGAAAGAGGTTGAAAACCCCTGATTATACATTATAAATACTTACAAGGTCCTTATATCAGATTTGGAGCAGTGATGGATCAGTCTGCTGGCTTGCAAAAATCTCTGTGGAGTCATCCCAAAAGAATAGAATCCAAAATGCAGCTGAGCGGTAAAATTAGTTAGAGTCTTTCCATGCATTTTCCAGGATATTCCAAATAATTACTTGGAAGATCTCAGTTCACTGCTTAAATGTTCCCTGTTTAAAATTCACGGGACTAGAGATGAAAGGATCAGGCCCAAGGTTTCTCTTCATAGCTGAAGCAGATTTTTCAAGTGCTCTGAGCACAGCATGTGACTGAGGATTCTCTGTTGAGCGCACACTGTCCCATCACTTAGAAGTTAACAATCTATTTATGATGCATACGTACCTCTGTGCACCAGGACTTTGTCAACCTAAATTTTAAGTGTAGAGCAGGCCTAAATCTAGGCAAGACAGCCCAGGGTCGGATGACTGCTTGGATCCCAGAGTCTGTGAAACACACATAGAATCATAGGATTGTAAGGGACCTCGAGAGGTCATCTGCTCCAGTCCCCTGCATGACTTATCACTGATTAAAAATAGGTAAATGAGTAAGAAAAGTTCAGTAACAATCACTTAGTGAAGTGGAGACTCCAGCATAACTTCATGCATGGGCTACTCAAGATCTATGTTGTTGTTGGATAGTTAAATAGACTATGCAATGAGCTAAAGTCCTCAGAGCAGTTATTGTTCAACAGAAACATTTCTTCAGTACCTAAGTTAGGGTCCCTTTAACATGCTAATTGAGTTGTCTGTGCTATAAAGATTTAACTGAAAGGATTGTAGGCGGAAAATAGCAGATTTAGCAATTTCAGTCTGATATTGTGGTGGCTGGGGGATTGCAATTGGGCGTTTTAGTGGGCAAGGAAATGTACGATGTTCACACTAAACTTATTAAGCTGGTTGAAAAATAAGAGAACTTGACTGTTCATCACTTGATGCATCCGGAAAATGAAATGCGCTCTACAGAGATTCTTTATTACCTTGCTATTTGAAGTGGCCAGAATGAAAGCATGTGAAATGCTGTCATAAGATGATGGCTTATTGCTCTCAAAGTATATTTGTCTCTCTAAATATTAGAAGACTAAATGCTCCACTGAAAAGGTAAAGGGCTCAGTCCTATTTTAAAAAGCAACTTCCTGAATCAGCAGTTATGTGAACAGCCCTTTTGATGAGTGCCAATGTGACAAAAAGTAAAACTTTTCTTCCAATGGGCCTTACATTCGGGGTTGTGAGGAGAAAATAAACCCTTCAAATGCTTGGAGAACAAAACACCAGGGATGTTTCACAATGGCAGAGTAATGCAATCTTGGCTAGAAAGCAGCGGAGTTAGCTTTTAAAAATTAACACTGTGATGAGACAGATTTAGGCACCTAAGTAAGTGGCCACATATTCCAGTTAATCTTGGACTTCAGCATGGGCCAGCTGCCCAAATAAGTATCCAGGGTTTGTGAAGCTTCACTCCTATTGGTACCTGAGCCAGCTAAATTAAACCTTAACTGCACTGTAGATATATCATTAGTGTCTGGAACTCTAGTGCTAGCAACAGATGACCATTTAGGGCCAGCTTCAAGCAAGTTGTCATGAGGAGGTGTGATTTATCCTGCCGTCCCCAGAGGATCTCACTTAGGAGGAAGTGCAGGAGAGGACAGAGGTCATTATGCCTAGAAAATGGAGGAAAGTTTCTCCTTCCACCTGGAAGCCTCCAGATACTTTCCGGCAATTGCTTAGTGTCATTTTATAAGAGAAGAAAGACTAATCTCAAATCTTTTAAAGAAGTAACATTCACATTGTATGCAAATAGAGGGGCTTGCATTCTTTGAAGTCAATGGCAGGTTTGCCATTAATTTCAGTTGGAGCAGGATTGAGTCTGCAATATTTCCCAGTCATATGACATGTGGTGAACAGGTTTTTCTGTCTTTATAAAGAGAATGGTTATATTTCTGAATATATTTAAGTATAGAATAAAAGATAAAAATAGTAGGAGCCAATTTCAATGAATGATGCAGCTAGGGCTTTGAGAACATGTATAGGATACCTATCAGCTGGAGAATAAAACTTGAACTGAAATTCACCCCACAAAATTTGTAACTGAGCTAAGGAAATAGAAAAGTAAAAATATGCTGGCTGGCCATCAGCCAGCCTTCAGGTAAACTCATTCAGTTAAAGTAGTGGTTCTCAAACTTTTGTACTGATGACCCCTTTCACATAGCAGGCCTCTGAGTGCGACCCCCCCCCCTATAAATTAAAAATACTTGGTTTGATATTGAACACCATTATAAATGCTGGAGGCAAAGCAGGGTTTGGGGTGGAGGCTGACAGCTTGCAACCCCCCCCCCATGTAATAACCTCGCGAACACCTGAGAGTTCCCGACCCCCAGTTTGAGAACCCCTGAGATACAGCAACTGGGTTTCTGTTAGTGAATAAATGTATCTAATACCCAGTGCTTAAAAGTGGATGGATTGAGTTAGAGTTCATTGGGACACTGATTAAAAGCTGATTCATGGCAAACCGGCTTTACAACCAGACATAACAAAGGTCCTGCATTTTCCAGGAGGAAAATGTCAAAAATGCACAGGCAAGCATATGTGGGTGTGTCAAAGAGCTTAGAAAACCAGGTAACTTAACAAAGAGAAGGCTAAGGGATGACTTGATTACAGTCCATAAACACCTACACGGGGAACAAATATTTAACAATGGGCTCCTCAATCTAGTAGAGAAAGTGATGATGCAATGGCTGGAAATTGAAGCTAGACAAATTCAGACTGGAAATAAGGTGGACATTTGTAATGGTGAGAGTAATTAGCCATTGGAACAATTTACCCAGGGCTGTGGTGGATTCACCATCATGGGCAATTTTGAAAATAAGGTTGGATTATTTTCTAAGAGATTTACTCTAAGCATCTTTTGGGGGCAGTTCTATGGCCAGTGTTATTCAGGACATCAGACTAGATGACCACAGCGGTCCCTTCTGACCTTCGAATCTATGACTTTATGCACAGAACCCAGTGACAAATTTTGTGAAGACATGTTTTATGCAATTAGAAAGGCAGGTTCATCAGCACTTAAATGTGAGAAGTTATAGCTTTGTTTGCAGTCCGTCGCCTGCCTTACAAGTGTGGTTGAAAAGACAGCTTGGATAGAATTTATATCACCAGCTGTCCTTGCAAATTCACTGCTTCTCCTCCTTCCTGAAAGGATGCCATTTCTCCACAGTAAATCAGAAGTCAGGATGGCACAAAGAGTTGGATGGTGGTGAAGATGTCCTTATGGGATATCCAGGAATAGATGTTTCACAATCAGTCCAGTTATAAAGGATTCTCTTTTTTTGACGTTGCCTGTATTTATGCCACCCCAGATAAAAAGGACTCATATAGGCTGTCAAACTATCATTTCCACCCGGGGCATCCCTAACCTCACTGATGATCTGTTTTTTGGAGGTGGATTACCTATGTTGATGATCCCTATAATGGGAACACATGCTTTTGTGGAGACTAGACTTGGCCAGCCGCTGTGCCAATGATCCAGATCATGAATGCTTTCAATATGGTACATGAGGCTCATTCCTTTGACTATAACAGGATTCAAAAAAGAACTAGATAAGTTCATGGAGGATAGGCCCATCAATGGATATTAGCCAGGATGGGCAGGGATGGTGTCCCTAGCCTCTGTTTTCCAAAAGCTGGGAATGGGGACAGGGGATGGATCACTTGATGATTACCTGCTCTGTTCATTCCCTCTGGGGCATTGGCCACTGTCGGAATGGCAGGATACTGGGCTAGATGGACCTTTGGTCTGACCCAGTATGGCCGTTGTTATGTTCTTGAGCCTTCCAGACCAGAGGTTAGAAATAATAGTTGTCCCAGGAAATTAACCCAAGAAACAACTTAAAAATGGAATCTAGGATTGGGAATGCCACAATGACATTCATGTCAGAGTCCTATTTGTTATTAGTTACTACTTATGTCACTGGTCATAGCCCTGATTGTGCTAAGTGCTGTACAAAACCAGAACAAAACAGTGGTCCCTATCTCTGTGCGTCTACAACCTAAATATCATTCAGAAGACAACAAATCAATGCAGCCAGATGGGGGAGTGCGAGGTAACAGCCCCAGCCGCCAGGCCATGGAGATCCTGCAGCGTCTACTCTCGACAGTTCTAGGATTCTGTAATTCTGTAACAGATCAGCTTATTTCCTCTCGCGTAGAGACCTGGTCTGTTACATTGGTTCTGGGCTTCTATGCCCCATGTCGGTTAAGCAGGATCATTTTTGTTTTCACTGCTATATTGCTCTGCTTTTGGCTGTGAGCATGTGTATGAATGGTGAAATAATTTCCTTTTGCGGCTTATGGGCCCTTAGGGTATGTCTCTATGTACGGGGAGATGCCAGCAAACCAGTAAAGTGCCTGAAACCACTATGGCTTATTGCTAAAAGCAGCCAAGTCAGCAGACTGTAAATTGGCCATTCAGCAGTCTCAGCTTGACCAAGGCAGGAGGGGAGGGAGTTTTGGGTGCCACAGAAAGGGCAGCTTGACCCCACGTCCTTCCTGATAAGAATTGTGTTGAAGTTGCTGATACATGCATTTTAGAAGAGCAGGATGTGCCCTAGGAATTTTTATTGGGGCCTCAAGGCTGCAAACTCTGGAAAACCCCACACCTGGTTAATCAATAATCAGATGGAACCTCTTGCTTGACCACTGAAACTGCTTACTTAACAAGTTTTCTTTAAGGGAACTGTCATTCTATTACTAATGTATAAATAAGGGGGAAAGTTTGAGATAATTGGACTCTTCTGGACTCTCCCTCTGGATACATCTTGCAGTCCCCACTGGGAGATGGAAGATTTGGCCACCGGAAGGCTGCTGCTGTGTCACTCGAGAGCGACACTCAGCTTCGGTAATTATCAAGGGTTGGGGACGTGGGTAAGCGCTTGAGACTAAGTAAAGTTTAACTTTAAGTGAAAGCAGCCTGTTTGTGACAGCCATCTATCAGTCAGACAGCCGTGTCTCCCCTGATTTATTTCCTGACACCACCTCGCACAGAGTAAAAGTTACCAAGAGCTTTGGCTTGAAAGAACACCGGGTAACTTACACTGCAATGAAATACCCGTGGACGGCCAATGTCAGCTGACTCAGGCTCGTGGGGCTTGGGCAGCAGACCTATAAAATTGTTGTGTAGATGTTCAGGATAGGGCTGGAGCCCAGTCTCTGGGACCCCGCAAGGGGCAGGGTTCCAGAGCCTAGGCTCCACCCTGAGCCTGAACATTTACACTGCAATTTTATAGCCCCACAGTCCAAGCCCAAGTCAGATAACACGGGCCAGCCCAAGGGTGTTTTATTGCAGCATAGACATTCCCTTTGTACCCAACAATTTCAGGGGCTTGGCTGGAGAGATGAGTCTATTTTAGATATTTATTTGGCCCCATCCCCATAGTACCTGAGTGCGCCACAATCTGTAATGTATTTATTCCCACAATTTCTCTATGAAGTAGGGCAATGCTGTTATCCCCATTTTGCAGATGGGTAACTGAGGCACACAGAGACCAGATTTTCAAAGGTGTTTAGGTTTCAAAAGCCCTAGGCACCTAACTCCCATGACATGCCCAAGGTCACACAGGACCTCTGTGACAGAGCAGGAAATTGAATCAGGTCTCCAAAGTCCCACTTGTTGTCTCTCAGCACCAGCATAGAAATAACTCTGCTTTTTTAGAAGTTAGATTTACAATTTTTTCATGTCTTTGGCCCAGCAGAAGGATGGTTGGGTAACACCTTCAATTTAAATTGCCAGTTTAAACTAGATTAGTAACACCGACAATTGATTGTCTTGCAAAACAGCAGGAAAGTTTAAAATTACTAGCAAAGTCTCCTAGTGTGAAAGAGACTAAGAAATGGGAGTTAAGGTTCATTGTCTCAAAAAGAATACACTCTCACTTTCACCTTCACCAAGGGGATCATCGGACTTCTGCGGGCTCTGGCATGTAGAAACATAGCATGTTGTTTCATGTGTCCTCTGCATAGATCTCTGGGAACACAAGCCACAATGCAAAAAGGGAGCAAGCAAATTGAGTTAAACTTTTGCAACAGTTCACTTTATTCTGGACCGGGCAATTACAGCTGCTGTCAGCCAGAGTCAAACTCACCATCCCAGGAAGGCATGAAAAGCGAAGTGTACTTTGCAAATTACAGGGGAGGCGGTAGGAAAATGAGACTCTGCCTCCTCTAAGGAGCTGTCTCTTCCCATTTGGTAAGGCAGATGCTTCAGTACTGAACACATTGCTCAAAAACTGCTGCAAACACATGGCTATTCAGTTCACTGCAACTTCACAGCAAATCAACAGAGGAGAAAACATCACAGGGCACCCCTTGCATTCCCTTTATTAAGGAACAGAAAGTGTCTCAGTGTGGGAAGAGAAAGGGGATGGAAGTAGTAAGGGGACTGGACAGCTGTGGTTGTCTGCTTCTATGGTGATGACAGAGAACGCCAGATTCTTCAGCACCAAAAGGTTAATGGCCCCCAGGGGCTGCTATGGCAGATGGGCTCAGCTGGATTCAAAAGTGCCCTGGCCACACCCACTTTTCATCCAGTCACTCCTCCTGCACAGGGCCATCATAGGACCTTTATGGTGTCTCTACAGCACAGAAAGCTTCCTCTCTAGTGGGAGACTCCAGTGGCTGGATTTGTCAGCTGTTGACACCAGACTGGCAGAAAGCTTCTGGAGTACTCTAGAGCACTGCACTCTTCTTTTTGTCTACCGGCTGTTTGCATGAAACACAAGTTGTCCTAGTCAGGAGATCGCGTATGCTTACAAACAAAAATCAGAGCAAACCAGCGTGAGCCGTTCCTGCGGCTGGACTGTCAATCTCCCCTCCCTGTGGGAAAGTGGCTCTTGGGAGGTGAAAGGCTTCCTGTATTTTTGGGGTCTGCACATGTAAAAATGCATTGGTGTAATTCCAGTGAAGTCAGTGATGCTCCGCCAGGGATGTATTTCTCCCTTTCAACTCCGTTTCCCAGCTGTTTTCCAGAGACATTTTTTCATCGTGGATTTTAAGGCCAGAAGGGATCATTAGATTATTTAGTGAGCACCATTCTGAGTATCCTTCTGGCCATAGAATCGTCTCTTCTCAGCTCCTCCTGGGCTCCTCTGGGTTGTTCACTGCTCCTCCCAGAGCAGCCACTCCCAGACCTGCCAAGCTGGAATCTTTTCTCCCCTGGGATCTCAGAGTCTCCTCTCATGCCTTCTCCAGGCCTTTGTGGAAGTCTCTCTCCCGCTTCTGTCACTGCCTAAGTCTCTCCCTGATTGACTCACTTGATTCATTTCCCTCACAGGGGGAGGCACACTGGCTGTCTTAACAGGTGAGGCTGAGACTCATCTCCCTTCAAAGGGCCAGTCACCCTGTGACCATCCCCTCCCCAGATCCTTGCCCACCCCGAGGCAAGCTCTCTGCAGTCCAAACTTTATTTCTTCCTTTGCCCCGTGCCAGTCTGTTTTTCACTCCACAGTCCTTCCCCTCCCCTTTCAGCTGACTGATCTTTGACAATAACTGGTCCCTCTCTCCCAGCGCTCCGGGCACATCAGACAGCTGGAGATGAAGTCCATCTCCTTCAGCATTTCTATCCCGGCCTCTACCAAAGTCTCCCCACTCATTGCCCAGGCCTCTTCCTCATCCACCGCAGAAGTCTGTTTGGGTCACATGACCCATTTTCCCCATCTGGGGAGGCAAGATGGCTGTGTCCCAGATGGGGCTAAGGCTCATATCCCTTTAAAGGGCCAGCCTCCCTGTGACAGAGATTGCGGGTTTTGGCCCCCACCTAGGCTGTGCTGGCCAGTTGACAGCCATAGCTTGAGCTCTCTTATAACAGTGCAGAACATCCACCGAGAGACAACAACCAACGCCAGATCCAAATGCCGTGGTCGAGTGAACATCTGCCTGGTTTTACTGTATCTGTTACCAAGCACCGGGCGTGGGGAAAATGAACATATGGGGGTGCAACTGCTGAGTCCTGGGATGCACTGTACATTCATTGATTAGTTAATAAGAAGTCGACATCATCTTTCATGGAGCAGGGGAATTGAATTAACCAACAAGACTCATAGACTTTAAGGTCAGAAGGGACCATTATGATCATCTGGTCTGACTCCCTGCATGCTGCAGGCTGCACAACCGTCCC